GTCTTACTGGATCTGACTAGCTAACTTTGCTGTATACTAAAGTCTTAAATATTGCTTTTCTATGATGCAAAATGCTTGGAAAACTAAAATGAAAATACTATTGCTTTAACAAACCCTTATGAACACGATCAATATTAATATGAATTTCCAATAAAATTTACAATAAAAAACAGCAGCTGTCCAGCATTGGCCAAGACTTTGATGACAACACAGAAGTGCTACCCATCAAAAGAAAGTAGTATGTTTTATAACTATTTTGATGTGTTTTCTTTATTATGTCTTATACAACAGTTAGTCCCAACCTTACAGTCTGATTGGTTGAGAAGCGTCTAACCGTGTTAATATTTGTGATAACAGCCTGGCTTTTTACAACAAAACTGTATCACTCTGCTGACGCTTTGGCAAATAACGACAAGCTTTATGCACCCAAACCTTGTTTTGTATTTAAAGTAACATATGACCTGTCCATTTTATTGAAGTACCATTTTACCATCTTGGCTGTAAATATGTCTCAGTATGTGCTGACGTCCCAGAACAGGGTACAATAATATTATATGGGTGAAAATGCAGAGTTACGATGCTCTGTTTAAGCTTTAGCTGAGATATAGATGTTTTTCTCACATCTCTGGCAGATACATTTCTGCAAAAGTAGAATAGTATCTTGTAAAATGTCTCCCAGTATTTGATGACGTCAGCTTCTTGTTTGCCAGAATTTTTTCTGTTCCAGCTGAAACGGTGCCTGATGCACCAGAATGTAACTCCAGCACTATTTAAGGTGGAACGGGAAAATTGGAACTTCAGCTTCATGACGTTTTGGAGTTTGACACTTTCTCATTGCAGATTAAACGTATCAGGAAACCAGATGGAGTAATTAATGCAAAAAAGTCCATTCATCTCCAAATTATCAATGTTCGTCTTAAATCTTTCTCTTTATCTTGTCTTCTTGTTAGCTGTCCGAGACTGTTGTCTGTGTTGTTAAAGTGACCAACGGTCTGCGTGCCAATCACAGCGTTAAAGTGTTTGTATTTAGTTTATATTTACACAGTTTTTTTCTATTTTAGTAGGTCCATCAAATGTATCGTTACTGCCAGGACACAGCCTTGTATTTCCATTTTAATTCAATTTTTTTTGTTTCATTTTTTAAAATTATTACGTAGAATTTGATGCCTTTACATTGAGGCAGACTATTACGGTTAATGGAGCAGTAGAAATGTTCCAAACTTATTGGGGAAAAAATATCTTCTTCCATTAATTTCTACTTAAATTTAAGATTTTTTTTTTTCCTTTCCTGTGAAGTTACTGTTTTGGAGAAGGTTTTGTCCTGACCACAACAATATAAACGTATGGTGGTCTTTTCCACTGATGGATGGGGCGGGGGGTGACTGCTACATTGTACAGCTATATCTTGTAACAGAGTATGCCTATGGTGGGTTTACGTGATGAAATGGACAGTGAGTGTACAAAGAAGGTGAACCTAATTACCTAGGAACTGAACTATTTGCATGTATTTCTTAAGAGATGCAGCATTGCCACTGGAGTTAGTTCTGAGGTCAGTACATGGGCCGTTTAAACAAGAAATGTATTGCGTCTATTTTCTTTTTGATTATTCTCAGCAGTGACACTGAGATGATGGTGTGAGTAATGTTGAAGCGAGTATATCAGACACAATCATGCTGATGGGGATTTTTTTTACACACGTCAGTGTCACTGCTAGGTTGAGCGTGGACCACTGCCCAAAAATAACCAGCCAAGAGCATCTCTGTGGTCACAAACTGACCACTGAAGAAAGGTTAGAGACCTACCACTTGGTCTTTGTGATCTACTGGAGAGTTTGGTTTCAACACGTCTGGCTCTAATATTTAGACTTCATTGCTTGGACCAGGTGTGTTGGACCAGGGTTGGAGCTAATGGGAAAATAAAGGTAATCTATAAGTGTACACCACAAGTATGACCAATAAGGATGGTCAAGGTGGTAAAAGAACTTTACACTGCATATGCTGGATTGCCATTAATGTCTTCTTTGCAGTCTTGTTGGTTTGATATGTTTAATTTTTTTTTCCATTTAATTTTTCTGCAAAAATGTTTGACTTTCATCCACTTTTTAAGGAAACTTGATTTAATAAAAATAAATGTCATATCATTTATGAATTTTGATTATGATTTTATGTTGAAAATAAAGGGAAATGCCTGACTTAGTTACAGTGATTAAAACATTTTGAAGAAATCCATTATTGTACTTTTGAATACATAGGCCAGTCATGATGGGAGGTTGTAGGCTGGTGGTAAATTGTCTTGGTCTAGTTTTAAATCAATAGCCACATAGCAGCCGACTCAGGGACTCATGCGGCTGCTCAGCCATGGAAACTCATGCCACAAAACTCCCGGCACAGTTTTTGTGCTGATGTTAATTCAGTGGAGGTTCAGAACTCTGCAGTTACTGAGTCAGCAGAGCATTGGTGGCTTTTATGCACTATGCTCCTCAGCATTAGGCGGCCCGCTCTGCAACTTTACATGGTCTGATATTTCATGGCTGAGTTGGTGTGGTTCCTAAACCCTTCCTCTTTTCAGTAATACTACTCAGAAGTGTGAAATATCTAGGCAGGAAAAGATTTTGCAAACTGACTTGTTGCAACAGTGGCATCCTATTATGGTGAGAGGTTTAGATTCAGTGAGCTCTTTAGAGCAACTTTTTCTTTCACAAATGTGTGTAAAGGCAGGCTGCATGGCTAGGTGCTTGATTTTCTACACCTGTGACAATAGAACTGAATGAAAGACTTGAAATTCAGTGATTAAGAGGTGTGTCCCAATAATTTTGTCCATAAAGACTTTTGTCTGCATAAGAACATTACGCATAGAAGGTCTGTTTCTAAACCAGTCGCAGTATTTTTCTGGATCTTTTTACTAACATACACTGTTAAGAATCTTGCTAAATAATAATAATAAAAAAAAATAAATAAATAAACATTGTTTGCTTGTTTTGTAATACCTTTAAAGAATCTAATGTCCACTTGGACACTCCCGGATGATACTGTTGTGGAGTTTGAGTTATTCCAGGATCAGCTTACATGAATTCAGCCTGATTTTGACCAAATTTGACATGAAAGGTCTAGCAAGTAGCATCTTCTATGACACATACCTTGACATTAACCAATAGGTTACCAGCGCACATACATAAACAGGGTGAAGAGAAAAAGGGATGCTGCTGTGAGGAAATAGAGGAACCATTAGTTGAGATATGGCAACAATACCCCTGGCTTTTTAATGCTTCCTCAAAGAGAACCACGTCAGACTCCAAACAGATAAATGTTGCTGAGCTAGCTACCTACATTTATGTAATGTTCTTGATATGTTAATACATTCATTACCTCAGGTTCAAGACAGCCCATACTGTTCTGTTCATGACACACAGAAACAGGTCTACAATCATTTTTTCTTTCTTTTTATTTTCTTTTCAAAACACAAAACCACCAGCATCATACAGAGGACTTCTGATTGACACTTCATTGACCATCCTCCTCAAAGACCTATGAACTTACGCAACAACGAACGATGATTGGTTGGCATCAAACTTGTAGTGTTGCCCCTCTCCTCACCAAGACATGGCACAGATATATTATAGCGATTACCTTTACCATCATCATTAAACAATTTCATAAACCAAAATACTGATAGTGTTATTAAGTAAAAGCATATTTGGAATTTCTAAAAATCATAAAGTTCAACTAAAACATATATTGTCAAATTTCTCTTGATAGAATCAAAATTTCATACTCATTCAAGAATGTTTGGCAATCAAATCTCAGATGTTACTGTATTTATGGCAAATCTAACACCTTATATGGACACTCAGTAATACTGTAAAAATATTGGAGCCAGATAGTACTCATTAATTTTTTGTGTATTTTATTATTTATTACTGTACGGTCTGTATTTGTATACTGCTTAAATACATCACCAGCAGTTACATTGTTGTTGCATGTATTGTTAATGTGTAATTACACAGTTATTAGAGGCCTTCATATAAAGTGTGACTCCTTTTTTCTGAGAGTGTGACAGACTTTCCTACCAGAACAATAATTGATTGTTAATTACTTAATAATAAAAGGAAGAAGAAGAAGATGGAGAAGACAAAGAAAAGGGAGAACTTCATTTAGGCCCATTGTCTAGAAAGGAAACCGTTCTTCTTTGGTTGAGATGCTGTGTGAGGCCAGAGCAGCTTGTGATTCTTCTCTAATCTGCAATAATTCCACTCAATTATATTCATATATACTCAGTGACCTGCTGACAAATATTATAGACAACAATAACAAACACAAGCACATAGTCTGCACTGTGGCAAGCAATACAGACACCACTGCATAATGACTGTAGTGATTTTATATTACTGCTGGTTAAATAGCAGAAGATGGTACATTTGTCTACATTAATTCTTTCAGTAGGTCAAGTAAGCCTTCAGAAAACACTGAAAGAAGGTCTCCACACCACCTAACCACACAACCGGTCTGAACCAGTTGCGTCTACTTGCACAAACTCTATTTGGACACTTTATTGACGTAAGAGTGCACTGCATCTGAACTGAACAGGAAACCATAAAAGTGGTTGGTTTAAGAGTTAGAGGTTAAGGACTCCTGAGAAGCAGAAAATCCAAACCAACTTCTGAGACTGAAAAATTGAAACATCCCTGCAGATTTCTTAGAATTTCTCTGTTAGATTTCTCTGAAAAGTAAATAATGTGTGCATCATGGTTTTAACTTGAAATTAAATAATTGAGGGGGTTGTCTCTGACATTTGTACAGAACTGAATACCAACTAATATCACCTTTTGTGTTTCGAGCTTGTAAACTATACACTGTATAGAATGGTTTGATGTAGCTGAAAGTAGTTATAGTTTTATTATTGTTCTCCTGCCATTAGACCACTGTACTAAATGTTCATCAGGTGGTGGGGGTGGGTTTCCAGTTTCCAGGAAGCCCAGCCCCTTTTCCAGTCTTATATGAGACTGTGTTCTTCCTTGTTTTTACACCAACGTCTCAGATCATCCAGTCGTAGAAATGAAAGTGGTTCTGGTGCTCGTCAGTGTGTTCTTCACTAAAGGTACAGAGAACCAAATTTATACCCTCATATTACACTCAGTACTGTCATTTCAGTCAACCTGTTAGATGATTTCATTCAGAGTGGTCTGATGAGAAATAATTAATTGTAGAAAAAGTTACTCAATTGTCTTTGCAGTGGTGGTGATGAGAACCAGGGGTCACCATGTCTACAACACAAACATAGCCATTTTATTTACTATCTAAACCCACCAGTGAACCTACACGTCTTTAGTTTTTACATGTAATTTTGATGATGATAAAACAGTGGTACACCTGAAAAAAGGGTCATTTGGGGACGAATTTGCCTTACAATGTCCTGCATATTCCTCTCTGCCATTAATGTGATTCAAAAATACATTTCAAACCAAAACTGTATCTCACGACTATCGTAAAGCAATGTTTCAGACATCAGGCAACATATATGTGCGCGATAACATTCAGTGATGGAGCTTTAAAGCATTAAAGTTCAGACGTCTGGTTCCTTTCACCAATATTATGAACAATTCTGAGTTGTTTTCTCTGGAACAGCTTATTTGACATCAAACCACTCTGAATGCCATTAAACATTAACCACAGATATTTATACAGATATTTTTAGAATTCTTTGAAATTCCTCTTTACTGTTGTTTTGGTGAGGACTTTAATTTAAATGTAAATCATTCTGACCGTTTCTCTGGGTGGTCAGGTCTTTATTTTTCACACTGAATTCTCGTTGTCCTCTAGGACTAGCACTGCAATGTTACCAATGCACACATGGGTTTCCTCAGACTTGTACTGAAAGTGAGGTATGTCCACATGACTGTAGCAACGTCGCTGCCACCTTTAGCCTGGGTAAGAGTGACTTTTAACTCAGATTAAAACTCCTAACAGATGCAAAACTGATGTCCACTAAGTCATGTGTTCCTCTGCAGGTGGCGTACAGGTGGAACACAGTGTGAGGACTTGCCTGCCGTCAGTCTTCTGTGTCACAGGGGGAATAAACACAGGGTTTCTGAGAGCGACCATCAACTCCAAATGCTGCAAGACTGATCTCTGCAATGACAAAGCACTGCCAGGTACAATCAGAAGCTCCTTTATCCAGAGCGACTTACAGTTTGACCATTTCACAGAGGAAGGTGAAGGTAGTGTTAGGAGTTTTTCTCATGACTGGTGTAGCATAAAGTGCTCGCTAGGCCAGGGTACTGAGTCTGCAGTGTGAAGGGCTGAGGTGTTACCCACCACACTATTCTTCTGTTACAGTCCTGTGACTTTTTTGTGCAGCGGCCACATAAAGGATCATCTTCTGCTGCGTCATATTTTTACAACTGCTAACAAGCATTTACAAAGCTCTTCTCATTTTATACAGTAACAGCCTTTTTGGGCCAAACTATCAACAGTTTTTTCTTTGTTTAAATACAGAATGCGCTCAGTGACATTTTCCAAAGTTCTGTAATTCTCTTCTCACTCCGTCTCGGCCTTCAACAGAACTGTGTACTTCTAAAGCTCACTTTGCAAATGCTCACATACACTGTTCAAAACCTGTTACAATGAAATCCAGAAATGAGCAAGAAAACAATAAACTTCATATGAATTTACTAAATAACAAACACCGAATCAAACAACAGTCAAAGTAAAAGTTCAAACTGCTGAATTGATGTATTTAAATAGGCTGATCACAACTGATTCCCAGCTGAGCTGAAGTTCTACCAGGTGTTGTCAATCCATAAAAGGGGGTCACTTCTGACGTCATTTTGTTCACGGTTTGACCACCCATTATGGGCCCAGCACACAATCAGAAACTGCGTATAAGCCAGAGAGGACATTAGGTGAGATGTGTGATGTGGATGAGAACATCTGGTCAAACGAAGCAGATCAGAAAAACGAAGCATTTACTGAACACATGACTTCAATTTTTGTTTTTGTTTATTCGCTAGATTTTTTTATTCTGATACAATAAAAATAAACCATTCCGGGGTTTTTTTTTATTTATTTATTTTTTTTAAGATAGTTTTTGAACAAGATATGGAAAGTTTCATTGAGAATTTTGTATGGATGTTATCCTCATGCAATCTTGCTAAGGATAACAAACAAATAAACAAACAAACACAGATAATAAAATTATTTATTGTCCGCTTACTTTGGGATTGTGGATACTCTTCTGGATTTGGGAATGACTAAAATAATATCATAACTTACCGAAATTGTCATTAATCAAAAAAAATTAGTATATTTAATTTGGAATATCTAAACATTATAACGTAAGTTCTAATAAAACGTGCATCGTCAATCTTCTATTATTATCATCAAAATGTCATATTCATTCAAGCCTGTTTGGCAATCAAAGATCAAACCGTACAGTGTTTATTGCGTATCTTACATCATAACAACAACAACACTCAGGAACACTGTAGACATATTAAAGCCAGAAAGGCTGTATTTGTTAAAGCTTTATGAATTTACTGTAATGGGTCTTGTCCTGCGATGGACTGGCGATGTGTCCAGTGTATTTCCTGCCTTCCACCCTTTGATTGCTGGGATAGGCTCCAGCTCTTCCCGTGGCCCAGAAGGATAAGCGACTGTGTGTGTGTGTGTGTGTGTGTGTGTGTAATGGGTCTTCTTTTTTTATATAATTTTTTTTAGCACTGATTCATTTTTTTTGTTTATTTTATTCTTTATTGTACTGCCTGAATTTGTACATTGCTTAAAAAATAATATAGTAAATGATTGCAAAAAGTCTACAGTGGTCTGTACTGGGTACTTTAGACCCAGGTTACCACAAACGTTTTGCAAACTTATCCTCGCTGGCTTGTTTAATTTAGTTGTTTATTTGCTTTAAGTTTTACCAAAACAGGCTCCCAATGGAAAGAAGTGTTGTGCCAATAATGACTGCTCAGAAACTGTGAAGTGTGAGGGAGATGAGGATCGCTGCATTAAAGGATCAGGTGAGGAAAATACCCTTTTTTACTGTAACTGTGAATTGAATCGACAGAATTATGCCTTTCTTCTTCAGTAACGTCAATGGAATAAGTGGTAACACCTTCTATGAACGCCAGGTCTATAAGCATCTTTAAACACAATCATAACATGTTTTAATGCATTCATAAGACATTATAAACATGACTTGTAATATTCATAAAAAGGAATTCCATGTTTACCATGCATTATGAATTGTTAATACTTTAAATGTATTGATCATAACACGTCATACTGTCCATGCCAAAGAAGTCAGCCCCAGCGTGCAGAGTGCAGTATGACTCACTAACCTGCTTATACCTATAAACACACACAGAATTTACTCGTCATTGAGGGTATAGATTGTTATTGATAGACGTATGATATTATAGCCCCACTGTATGAGCTTGTAAGTTATATTTGTCAGCTCTAAGTAAAGGAGACATAAGTTTATGTATCTCATGCCATTTACAATATTTTATTTCTCAGTATGGGCTTTGTTAGGGCTGGGCCTTCAGCCTTCAAAGGCCCCAGGAACCTAAATCTGTTTTTGTTTTTTTTTGTTTTTTTTGTTTTTTCTAATTAGGTTAATCTTGTTCTCAAAGTCCTTTTTCCCAAAAGTTCCCAAAGTGCTTTTTTCCATAACCACTGATCTCACTTTAAAATTACAGTACCCATCAGACCCTCCCCTAAAGCCCTTACAGGAGAAATCAGGAAGGGGCTCTGCACGTAATTGAAACCTCAACAAAGTTAGTGTGGAGAGGATTTAAGGTGGAGGAACTGAAAGGCAGGAAAGCAGAGGGGAAGGTTTGACTAGTCAGTCTGAATTCTCTCTCTCTCTCTCTCTCTCTCTCTCTCTCAGTTCCTTCAGGTATTCCATTATTTAGTAAGGCATCTTTGAAAGGATGTGCAAGCAAGAGCATCTGTGATGGGCTCGTGCCCATTACACAAGAACTCAACATCACTGCGGATATTAAGTGCTGTGAGGGGAACCTGTGTAACACTGCTATCAGTATTAATCTGGGTCTCCTCATCATGCTGGGGTCTCTGCTGACCTCCATCCTCTTCCTCTGAACTTCCTCTGGACTATTTCAAGCCCTTTTCAGGAAATACTGAAACAAATACAGCAGTTTTAGTAGAGATTTTAAATGTCTGCATCTCCACTGCTGTCCAGTTTACTGATTAACATGTTTGCTGTACATTCAGACTTTATCTTCAGGTGCTTCTTATCTGGGTCTTTAAGTCAGTCTAATGTGTTGCATAAAACATCCTACTGCTGTAAGTGTAATAAACCCAATAAACTGTGTAAAGACTGATAGTGTTGTCCTAATTTCTAATTTCTCTAATCTCTAATTAAAGTTTCAGTTTATTAGCATTAAACTATCTGAGATACTTCTGACTCTACAGCCCCCTCTGCTGCTGAGAGAAGTGAATAAGACCACATTCAGACTCAAGCAGAGGGGCTCAAATCAGAGCTGATACAATCTATAATACAACCAACATAAGGTCCTGCTTTTCTATTTAAACTTAATTCACCATTTTGTGCCATTGTGGTCAGAACTTAACGAAGGGGGGTGGGGGGGTGGGTCCAGTCTGGTGTGGGGAAAGAGCATGCAGCACATCCATGCCGCTCTAGTGTTCAACCCCAGTAGAAACAAACAGCCCCAAACATGCCCGCTGTCGCTCTTCACAATTGGAGTCCCCCAGCATAACAAACCCCAAATAACCCCACACATGTTCCTCAAACATGCTACACCATATATGTATGTGTAAATTTAACAGGAGACTGGATAAGAAGGTTGGTTTAATATCATAACTATTGATGTCACAAGGCTGTTAAATTGAGGAGGTGTGTCTGTAGTGGTCTGTAGCAGCGCCCATCCATCATCAACAGAGATGTGACTGCTTAACTTTGGCTAAGTATCACTGTTATTCTTCACTACCTCTTATTGTCCTGATTACTCTAGTGTTGTGTCCATCATGTGCTTTATAATCCCTGTTTACTCTTCCCACAGATTGCGTAGAACCATCCATCGTCGCAGGACCCGTAATTCCATTAACCTCACCTACCCCCCACGGTCGTCAGAATCTCAGACCAGGGTGGCAGGTGGGCTTTGGAATTGCCAATCCGCTGTGCAGAAGGCACCTTGCATCCTTCCATTCACTGCACTTTCTGGCGTTGACGGAGACCTAGATCACTCCCATGAATTCGGCAACTCCAGCAGCCCTGTCCTCTGCCTTTCACTTCTCCCATTCTCCGAGACAGTCTGGCAGGGGTGGTGGCACCGGTTTGCTTTTGTCCAGAAAGTGGCGTTTCACTCCATTTGCTTTTTCTCATCTTTCAATTTCCTCCTTTGAGTGCCATGCTATCACTGTATCTTTCCCCACTAAACTTCACATCATTGTCCTTTATCGTCCTCCTACTCCTCTAGGCTACTTCATTGATGAGTTAGACACTCTTCTGAGTCTCTTCCCTGTTGATGGAACCCCACTTATACTTCTGGGTGACTTCAACCTGCCATCGGACAAGCTGCAGTCATCCTGCCTGTTACCACTGCTATCATCCTTCGACCTCACCCTCAACCAGACTCCTCCGACGCACAAAGCAGGCAGCGCTTTGGACCTGATATTCACCAGACCTACCTCCGCACTGGATGTCACAGTAACTCCCCTTCACCACTCTGATCACCACTTCCTATCTTTCTCACTCTTCCTACCTGCTGCTCCTGTCCATTCCACCCCTTCACGCTCCACCTCTCGACGCAACCTGCACTCCACTCCTTCCTCCTCATATGCTTCAACTATCCTGACCACTCTTCCCCATCCTGATTCATTTTCTTCTCTCTCACTGGACACAGCTACAGATGCTTTCCTTTCTTCACTCTCATCTGCAATTAACTTTCTGTGTCCTCCAGGCCAGCAAGATCTTCTCCACCTGCCCCCTGGATGACAGGTGCCCTGCGCAGCAACCGGCAAGAACTAAGGAAGGCTGAGAGAAGGTGGAGGAAATCCCAGCTTGACTCGGATCTTCACTCCTACCAATCTCTCCTTTCCAAGTTCTCACTCGAAGTTACTGCTGCAAAGTCATCTTTCTACAGAGGGAAACTGGAAGCATCAGCATCTGATCGACGCAAGCTCTTCAGCATTTTCTCCTCTCTCCTCAACTCTCCTCCTCCCCCTCCACCCTCTTCTCTCACTCCTGAGGATTTTGTCACCTTCTTTGAGGAGAAGGTTGATAAAATCCACCAGTCTTTTCCCTCTGTCCCCACTTCTTTCCACTAGTCCTTCTCCTCTCGTTTTTAATCCCTTAAACTGTTTTTCTTCTCTTTCCACAGATGCTGTCCTTCAACTGATCAAATCCAGTAACCCAACCCGCTGGATCCCATTCCATCTGCATTGCTCCAGTCAATCTCCAAGGATCTACTGCCCTTATCACTTTTCTCATTAACAAGTCCTTGTCATCAGGTGAAGTTCCATCAACTATGAAGACTGCAAGAGTACTTCCCATCCTGAAGAAGCCCACGCTTGACAGCTCTGATATCAACAACTACAGACCGGTATCACTCCTTTCTTTCCTTTCAAAAATTCTTGAACGTGCAGTCTATAATCAACTGTCTCTCTTTCTCACACAAAACCAGCTCCAGGACCCCAACCAGTCTGGCTTCAAACCAGTGCACTCAACAGAAACTGCTCTTATAGCAGTGACTGAGAACCTCCAGTCAGCAAGATCAGCCTGTCTGTCATCTGTTCTGATTCTTCTTGACCTCTCGGCAGCTTTTGACACGGTCAATCACACAGTCCTTCTGGATGTCCTCACCAACCTTGGAATCACTGCCTCTGTGTGGAAGTGGTTCAAGTCCTATCTGGAAGATCGCTCTTATCAGGTAACATGGAGAGGGGTCCATATCCTCTCCATGCAGGCTCTCCACTGGTGTCCCACAAGGCTTGGTGCTAGGTCCTCTTCTCTTTTCTCTTTACACTAGCTCTCTTGGCAAGGTAATATCATCTCATGGCTTCTCTTATCACTGTTATGCCGATGAGACTCATCTAATGCTTTCTTTCTCACCCTCTGACACACAGGTTCCCAGTCGGATCTTGGCAAGTCTGTCTAACATCTCTTAATGGATGACATCTCATCACCTGAAACTCAATCCTAGCAAGACTGAGCTGCTATTCATCAATGCAACTACAGGTCCTCATCATGATCTTGCCATCTCATTCAAAAACTCTCTGATTGTCCCATCTGTAGAGGCAAGAAGTCTTGGTGTGGTTCTGGATGGCCAGTTATCGTTCTCGACCCACATCGCGAACCTAACTCGGTCATGCAGATTTCTCCTGTACAACATCTGGAGGATCCGACCCTTTCTCACTCGAGAGGCCACCCAGGTGCTAGTGCAGTCTCTTGCCATCTCAAGGCTTGACTACTGCAACTCGCTCTTGGCTGGTCTTCCAATGCAGGCCATCAAGCCTCTGCAACTCATCCAGAATGCAGCAGCACGGCTCGTCTTCAATCTCCCCAAGTTCAGCCACGTCACCCCACTGCTGCGCTCCCTTCACTGGCTTCCTGTAGCTGCACGCATCAGATTTAAAACCCTTATGCTTGCTTACAAAGCCAGAAATGGACCAGCCCCTCCCTACTTGATGGCAATGGTGAAATTTCGAACTGTAGCAGGAGCCCTTCGAGCTTCGAGCACAGCTCGGCTTGACCCGCCATCCTTCAAGGCGCGCGGAAGGCAAGCATCAAGACTGTTCTCTGTGCTGGCACCCAGTTGGTGGAACGAACTCACACTGGCTGTCCGTACAGCAGAGTCTCTCGCTGTCTTCAATCGCAGACTGAAGACACATCTCTTTATACAGCTCTTAAATGAGCACTGAATTAAGTATTGATTGTAAAGTATTCTACTGCACTTATGTATTGTATTGTATTGCACTGCTCTGTGTTTAACTCTGTTCCTTTTTCTCTAGGTGTCAATAATGACTTTCTGATTCTAGAAGTATCTGAGCTCAGGACTGACTTTCTCTCTAACCTATTGGTAACTAGCAAAGATACTTCCTCTGGATAGACAAAGCACTTTTTGTAAGTCGCTCTGGATAAGAGCGTCTGCTAAATGCTGTAAATGTAAATGTAATAATCAAAATAACTATAAAGGATTCTTTGTGCTCATTTGTGTGTTGATGGGATAAAATTGCTAAGTGAGACTGATAAAGGTTCCCAATGAAAAAATAAATGTTATTATTTTGTACTATTGTGTTTATTGTTACTGTTTATGTTGCTGCTGTTATTATTAATTGGCAGTTTTACATGTCTTCAATACAAGGAAGCTTACAATACCACAATGCTAATACCCAGTGGGGCAAAAAAAGGATCAACATCTGTAATAAACAAAAGTATTAACTTTAAAACAGTATTTGAACAGTGATAGGTGTGATTGTGTAGTGCATATTAGTGTAAACAACAGAGAAAGTTGGACACAGCCTAATATAGGGAGACCAAAGAACAATAGAGCAAAGCTAATATTCACATTATTACTGTTAATTCACTTTAAAAAAGGTAAAGTAAGGAACTTTAACATCACCCGCAGCTGCCTTTTCTCTTATTTATTTTATACATACGCTTACAGTGTCATGTGTTAAATATTTAGAATAAGTTGAATGATTCCAGTATTTTTCTTGTTTGTTTCGTGCTTTAAATTTAATGAAAGTAAAGGAAGCAAAGGATCACTCTTTTCTTTTGTTGCTTTGGCTGTTTTCTCTTACTGTTACAATGTACCCTACCTACTATAACAGCTCACCCCGAAGGTGAGGCAGCTTAAGACAGAACAGTTACTTATTTTATGAGAAAGTAATCAGTTTCTTCACTTTTTATATCTGATATCAGAGTTTAAAGATCACAAACAAACACTGAGACCAAAAGTGTTGTAGTTCTGGTTGTGTTAAATACAACACTGGTATGGTGTAAATATAGTACCAGAACTAAAAATAGGGGGTGTACAAAACAAAAACAAGTTACTTTAAAAAAAAGAACATCATATTTTAGAGGGGTTTAAAAAAAAACAAAAAACAAAAAAAAAACGTAAATTCAGTGA